CACAGTCAAAACCCCGGGTAAGTGACGGTTGGCGAGGGACCCAACCGTGCATGGTTGCGGGTATCCGCCTTGGTAGTTTTTGCATGGTTTGGGGTTCCCCATTTTTGCACCGATCGGCTTTGCTTCTGACGCCCCTGGCTTCCACTGCTGTTCCCTTACATTTTCCTTTAACAAAGGGACCTACCGGGTTCACATTTGTTGCACCTTTTGGTGGGTTCCATGTGGACCGGAGGGTATAACAAGGCATCAACGGCCGAAATTTAATTTCTGTTCGGGGTGGGTAGGGGTGGTTATGGTCCCTTTACCGGGCACACGATGCAAAGGATTCCTTTTGCAGGAGCCATGACCACGACTCACATGGTGAGTCGGGTTGTGTTTGGTGGAGTTGAGGTTGGAGTTGGGGTGGTGTTTTTGGTGGGCTTTGGGTTCCAACTTTAGTAGTAAAAAACAAAAAGACGCAGGGTACGTACCGCCCGTACCGCCCATGCCGCTCCCGCGTGCCCGTGCCGCTCTCCCCCGCGCCGCTCCCGCGCCGCTCCGATCTCTTCGCCAGGGGCTTCCCGCTCCGCGGCGCGCTGGACCTCGCGGAGAACTTGTGCGGCGCGCACGGGGAGAGCTGGCTGCGGGAACTGCGGTCCATGTCGCTGCTGGCGCCTCCGCCCGGTTTTTGGTGCGTTTGGCTTGGGCCGTTTTGGTGGGGGGGGGGGTCCAATAGGGTTGTCTCTGGCTTTTTAAGGAACTCGAGTTTCGGGTTCTGAACCCCAGCTTGTACCTACTTTTGGATTTTGGAATGGGATGCGATACACTCAGGCCAGGGGGTGCCCTGAAAGTCACCCCTTTTTTGGTTGGGAGGGTTCCTTTCTACTAAAATAGACGACAGAACAAAGTTGGTACCCATATTCTAACCTCTCTACTGGAGGACCTAGGGGCTGCTTTGGGTGCAGGGACAATGGGTTCAGGCAACCCGACCTTTCCATGGTTGTTGTTGGGAAACATTTCACATTTTTGCTTATTGTGGTTTAGTAATCCTCACTTAACTGCTAAAAAATAAACTTTTGCTCTCCTTCCAACGCGCATGAAGGCGAAACCCAAAGGAGGTAGTTTGGACAAGGGGTGTTGAAAATTGCCTGGTTTTACCCAGGGGTTGAATCGCTCTGGCACATCTTTTTTTGGGTTGAGTTTGGTTAAATGAACCGAACCCACGGAACCCAAGGCCCGAAGCGCGGGAATCGATTCCGATCCGCCCAGAGGTGATGGATGGATCTTCTCAGCACCGCGGCAGAGAGAGGGAGAGAGAGACAGATATGGGGGGTGTCTTTTTTTGAGGGCACCCCCCTTTTATGTGGTGTTTAAGGGGAAACCCAAGGAAAGACACTGTTTTGGGGTCCCTGAAAAAAGACACAATATGTATGCGGGTGGGGAGACGGGCGGAGCAGGTGGAGCAGAAGTTGCCGCATTGTGCGACTTTTTTTTGCGTGGGCCGCCCAAAGATCGTCCCACCAACGGGGGGATGCTCCTCTCAGGCTTCTGAGGTGCCGTGTTAATCAGTCGAAGTTGGAGGGAACTCGTGGTTGTGTGCAAGGTCCAGCCAAGTCTTCCTGGAAATCATCCAACACCAAAACTTCGGTGCATTTTGCCAACGGCTGTTAGGACTTGAGAACTTTTGGCCAACTAATGGGGTTATCCGAACTAAACCACTAGAAGTTATTCACTTTTAGCAGGGGAGCAGAGTTCGCAACCGAGCACAGAATACCTTTCCTTTCTGGAGAACCGCCGGGCTTCTGATTTTTTTTCCCGCATGGCTTTGCCGGGCTTTGGTGGCTCAACCATTTTTTCCAGCCAGAACTCGGTGGGGGGGGGGGGGCTGTCGGCCGGAAGGAGCATTTGTGTTTTTAGATCGAATCCAAATCCCACAGGTGGAAGACCTAGGCGAGTTCTCAGGTAACCCTTGGTTGGTTTGGATTGGTGGGAACTGAATTGGATTTGAACCCATGGTTCTTGGAGATGGTAAATGGGAAGCCACCCCGGAACACCACCTGGAGGGAAGCTGAAATTCAGGTTTTTGTTCATGTCCCTTTTTGGAACCTCCAACCGTGGCAGTTTTAATGGACACCATCAGTCAGGTGACCCCTGTTCATGGCTGATCTTGTTGCGGGGTGTCGATGGTTGCCTGTGCTAGGCCGCTTTGTTTGGCTCTGGATTGCTTGGATGTGGTCACTTGATTCGGTACCTGTCCAAACATTTGCAGGTACAGCTTTGATGCAGTTGCTTTGGATAAGCACATGGGAATCATACAATTGACCAGACAGGAAATCGGAAGATCAGGTTTGAATACTAGCCGGGGTTGCGTTATGAACACACATCCGAAAATTGTGTGTTTCGCTTTGCAGGGGGGGAGGGATTGCGCCAAGTTTCATGGGGGATTACAACCATGGGGAAAAATAGATTGGGGTGGCACTTTAGAGTAGAACACAATCCGCTATAGATCTTTGGTGGATAAATGGTAGACGTGGATGCTACACTTCTACCCAGGAAATTGTGCCATGGTGGCACAAATTCCTACGGTTCAAGGTTTGGAATCCCCCACGGGTAGGGTAGCATCTACTAAAGATTTACCCTAAAGGTACCATCCCTGTCCATTTCCCATACTGGTTGTCATCCCCCATGAAAGTTGGCGCAATCCATCCTCTTTCCCCCCATATAAAGTTATGCATACAATGGAAACCTGGTGGCATCTGCTTTCACAAAGATCAAGCATTTCAAGGAGAAGCCCTCGGTTCAAGCCTTGGCCAAAGCCTGTTCAGTTGCCCAAAGCCAACCTTTTGACCTTTTGTTCTCTCTAGTTTGATCCATTTTTGGTCACGGCCCCAAAAGGTGAAACCCTTGATTTGTTGGTCCTTTGGGCAACTGAGCCTACCTTGTGGTCAAAACATGGAACCCTGATGCCATCTAATGTTAGCACCCTATTAGTCAACCTCAGTTTATGAACAGGGGGTGCTTCTCCCTGAATTTAGTGGGGAATCAGACCACTTTAGGGGAACACCCCCGTATGAATAATTGATACATATGGGGTCAACATTAGGGTATAACCATGGGTTCTAACTGGTGCAATTGGGGGTGATTAGAAACAAACTGGTGAATTAACCTCCTTAGACGTTTGTTGAACACACAAGCAGGTCTCCCCGGCAATGGTTAACACTTTCAAAGCCAAAAAAGATGAACACCCTCCCAAGGAGAACCCCTGGGTTTAAGCCTACGTTTTTTCATAGGGGGGTGCTTCTCCCTGGGTTTCGTGGGTTTCAAAGCCAAAAAAGATGGACATCCCCCAGGCTGCGCGCCTGCAACGGCCTGGCGCAGCTTCAACAGCTCGGGGAAGTACAGCGCCTGGCTCAACCTGCCTGATTTTGGGTTTGTTTGCTCTGGCCTCATGTTGTTGTTGTTGTTGTTGTTGTTGTTGTTGTTGTTGTTGTTGTTGTTGTTGTTGTTGTTGTTGTTGTTGTTGTTGTGGTTGTTGT